TATTTATGTTTAACATTTGACAAAGTCTTTTGAAAAACCAAGACTATTTTGCTAGGCAGAAAGTACTTTTGGAGCAACTACCAAGGACGACTAACAGATTTAGAGCCTTTGCCAATTATAAAATGAATTTCTTTCCCTCAATGTTCAAATCCCACAATAAGTTCACATTAACTGAAGGTGTAGATTTGCAGCTATTAGTACGATGGTTTCTCAGAGCTTAGAACCTTTATATTTATAAGCCCTGATGAACAGGGTGGTGCTTCTGTGTCAAGGAGATCTTATGTAAAGTGATATGTGATACCTTGGGTGAAAGTTCTAGGGTTTCTCAGAAATGATCGTGGACCTAGCTCCCATGTTAAAAAGGGCCGAGACTGCATTCAGGCAAGTTGTGCAGGAAATAGTAGCAGGGAGCAAGTTCCAGGGTTAAGCGATGGAGATGTTGGCACCTTTATGGTTTAGTACAAATGGAGGTGCATTGCGGCTGCCAGTCTTTCATGCTGAGGTTGGACAAAAAGGAAGAAACCCTGTGATTGAGGTAATCATCCCTTGCTGCCTATAGTTTGCCAGGGATCAATAGCAGCAGGTTTAAGGATTGTGGTAAACAACTCTTTCGTGAAAGCAGTTTTCACCAGTGCATAAAGACGCTACCTCTGAGAATCAGCATGATATAGGAAGAGATTCTCTCTATCAGAGCACATATTAAAATGAAGTCATTTTACTTCATTTATTTCATCTTTCTGTTTTCTGTGAATGGTCTTTTGGTTTTATTTTTTACTCTCTGTTTATTATGATGATCATTCTTTTCGGAATTCTAATACAATATATTTCCCAGTTAAGATCTGTTGTGCTGTGTATGAAGTCTAAGGATCACAAAACACTGAATTCTATATTTAAAATGTCTGCATAGCAAACACAAATGGTTGATATTTGAAAATGCTCAAATATCAATAACTATTTTATATTATGTAGTTGGGTGTTCTATGTTCTTTCATTTCTTTAGAGTAGCTATTTTCAGTGTTTGAATAAATTATATTGATTAAAGCAATGATTTTCCAGCTCCTTTTTATGAGTAGGATAAGAATTTATCTGACAGAAGGAAATCTGCCTTCATTATAGCAGTGTAATTTATTTTGTACTTTAGAGCCCAAAATCTTAAAGAAAGAGCCTGAAGGTTAAATGGTAAACACTGACCCCTTCTGATCATAGACCAATTTTATCCTGCTGTAAAATAAAGTTGATAAGCTCTTTCTGAAACTTTTCAATAACTTCCTCATTGGGAGTTAACGCTCTAAAGTATTATAGAGCTTTGCCTGTCAGGGCTCATTAACCCCCAAAACATGCTAGTGAAATGCTGTCGGACGGCAAATGTTTCAAAGATGCAATTGCTTCTACCTTCCCATCCTTCACATAAAAAAGGAAAAAAGATAAGATTTTACGAATGGAAATAGGAGAATGGATCCATGTACCACTCTGTTGGCCTATGCTGCTTAAATAAAATGTAGTAAATGACTCAGAAGAGCTTCTATCCAAGTTGGAAATAAACATATAACAAAAGAGGGTAACAACAAAAAAACCCTAGGAAACATGAAATAGTTATTATAAGTTTTTGCCATTTTTCCTTATACTGGCATTTTTTTAATCCAAAGAAATCACTGGGGTTTTCTTGACATGAGTGTTTGTGTTTTTGTGTTTAAATGAATGTTTACCATTTTCATTTCTTTAGATAATATAAAATATGCATACAGATGGATATACTGAGGATTTTCAAGTTTACCTAAATATGTACCTCTTATATGATTCTAGATTTCAAAAACATGCCCTCATCAATTGAAGACTCAATTTAGTTTTAAAAATTATTTTTTTTCTTTTTCTTACTTTTTGCTATTGTTTATTCTCTTTCCCAACTTACTCAGAAGGATGACTTATTGGAGGGGCAGCTGAAGCTAGTTAATCAAGTGCTATCTCTGTTAGAATACCACATGGGAATTTCCCTAACTACCTACATGGCCAAGAATAAAATAATGTTAACAGGTGACTTGGTAGCTCTTTAAAGTCATATATTTACATATATTAAATTTCCAGTAGTACATAAATACATAATCTGGTACAAGCACTCATGTTCAGTGTAACTATCCAACTTCAATTTTATTTAATTCTTCTAACCTAAACATTTTATGAATTAAGCGTCAACTGGAAATTGTTAGATAATGTTGCAGAATAATTATTAAGGTATAGATTTTACTTTTTTTTTTTTTTTTACAAAACATCAATTCCATATTTTAGATGCCTGTTATCAAGAATCCTGGGTGAATTATTGCTATATTCCTTGACAGCATTAAGTTTTGAACTACTAACTACAAGCCATGTGTTTTGAAACATACACATTGAATTTAACCTATTTAAACATATGCCTAATGCAACCAGTAAAATTATAGCTCTGGGTCTATATATGTATGAACACACACGCACATATCTATATGTGTTGGGAAAAAATACTTTGTATAATGACCATGAGCACCCAAACAGGGACGTATACGTGTTTTATATCATTTATAATAACTTTTGCTTATGGCCTATATACTCTAATATGGACTCCATGTTAAGGATGCCCTATGTTTTCTGTTAAACCTATACAATTCTAGGAAATAGGCATCACTATTTCCATTTTGCAAAAGAATGAGCTCTCCAGGTTATATAATAATTAGTAGAGATGAGATTCACCTCAGCCTTTCTGATTGCCAGCCTCAACCTATGATAAATTCGATGTATGCATTATATCATTAATTACCTGTGCAAAATATTGTAATTTACAAGTTTTGAAAGGCGGCGTTTCCTTGAAAAAAAATCAATATTGTTGGCAGAAATGATGCCTATATCGAAGCACATAATTTTCCAAAGATTTAAATTTTTAAGAATCTTATGCCATCCATTTTCAGTCACACACCAAATTTATTCAATATTTCTGTACTATCAAATTGCAAAGTCCATGGACTATACTAGTTAGAAGTTTCTAACTATCTAGCCCTCATGTATTTAATAACAGTTTTACTTTCAAAGCTACTTAAAAATAACTTTCTAACTTGTGGAAATTGCAAGGATACCCAAACAAAGCAAATATAGGGACTAGGAAATAAATATATGTGATAGGAAATACATGGCACTAAAGCCCCCGGGCAGACATTGCTAATCAATCACGACAGTTTTTGAAATCACTCCTAGATATGGCCCAAGAATCCTCAACACAAGCCTTCAGGTACTCTTTTAAAAGTTGTGTGCGTGTGTGTGTGTTTTAATGTTAAGTTTCAATCATTTCTTCATTCATATATTCTGGCTTTTGTCAGGCACTGATCTAGGATCTCACATAGAACAGTGAAACTGTAAAAGTCCTTTTTCTTATGGAACTTTGATTAAAATGGGGAAACACTGGCATTAAGCAAATCCAATAAGTAACATTTCAAGTTGTAATAAATTATATTCATAAAGGATGCTAAACGTACTAGAGAAACCTTTCTGACGTTTGACCTGAGACCTAAATAAAAACTAAGTCCCACAAGGAACCATGGTCATGTTTTCAGCAGAGTGAAGCCTGATTGCAAAAGCTCTTAATTAAAAGCATGATCGTTGTGATCAAGGAACAATAATGAGGCCAGTGAAGCTAGAGTGGAGTAAAAGGGGATGAATGTGATTTTGTGCAAAGAATTGAGGGTAGGGAGACAACAGATAGATAAAGATTGATCCATTACATGATGGTTACAATAATCTCAGCAAAAAAGGTCAATAGCAGCTTAAATAATGTAAGAATGAAGGTGGTAAGTAATCATCCAGTTTGTGATTTACTTTCAAAGAGGAGTGGGTATAGACTGGAAATTATAAAAATAATTTTGGATATTTTAGGATTATGCATTTTAAACACACATGTGGAGGGATAGAAAGGTTATTTCTATATAGGAATTATGTTTCAAAAAGAGATTGGAATAAGAAATATATGTTTAGACGTCTTCATAAAAACTAAATGAATGCCTGGGGCATAAATGAAGTTACCTGGGGAGCCCGTGTAGACATGGCTACACAGTGAAGGCGAGTAGTCCAAGAAAAATGCCAAGTCTTATAGTTTGCAAAGTTGGAGGAGGAATGAAAGATAGAGACCAAGAGGAAGCAAGTAGCGAAGTTAGAAGAGAACTAAGAGAAAGACGTGTCCTCGATGCCGAGTGGGGCAAGCGTTCAAGAAGGAAGATGAGATCAATTCTGTCAGATGCTGCTGGGAGTTTTGAAAAGATGAAGACTGACCATTAGATGTGGTAACAAAAAGGTTATTGATGATTTAACACAAGTTGATTGGGTGGAGTCATGATAGAAGTTGGTTAGATTATATGAAATGGGTGAGAAGAGATGAAATAGAAACAGGGAGAAGACAATTCTCTCTCTTTTTTTTTAATCACGGGAACAAAGAAATTGGCAGGAATAGAATGCAAGTTTTAAGCTCTAGGATATCATTATTATAAATAATACCTTAAACTCAATCATATAAGAATTCTGTATTATAGAATTCTTATAGTCAATCATACACTAAGAATTGGGCAATATTGCCTGTACTTATAGGCATTCTTTTTAGTACTCAATACCAAACCCTTTAAATTATAATCCTATAATATTTATCATTACCATTTTTTATGACAATGGTCAACTTTAGTAGTCCCTCATAACTTGAGATAAAAAGTCATAATTGGGCACATAGGGATAATACAATTCATTTATATTTAATATTGTTTCTTTAACTGACACATATTTTAATAATGCAACTATGACATGTATTGAGCCAATTAAAAGCAACAGCTTTCACATTATTCATTAGGACTTCCAATAAGCAATGTGGGCTCAAGTTTATAACCATGAGACTCTTCTATTAGTTGTCGCATTTAGTAAAACAACTCAATGTATGTTTATGTTGATTATTGCTTAATTATATTTCTATAAAATATTTTAATAAAACATTTTTACAGGAAAGACAAGCAACAGTGAAAAAAGAAAAGAGTGGTCCCCAGCAGGCAAACAAAATGACCGACAAGAACAAAATGCAAAGAGCCAACTCCGTTACTGTGGATGGGCAAGGCCTTCAGGTATTACTTTTTAAGTTCAAATTTTAATAACTTTTATATTTGTTACTTCTATGCTTGCAAAGTGCCATATGTGCAGCTATCAACACATTTATTTCATGTGCAGATTAGCAGAGTAGACTATTTCAGAAAGAACGTTATTAGTGTGTCAAGCTGTCAGTCTTATCGTTGATTGACAGAATGACATTCTGGTTAGATTAATCATTTGTGATGATATCTCCATTTAAACTCAAATGGGCAAGAGATCTTTTGTCAGTCTGAACGTTTTTGCAAATTACCTCTAAATACACACGTTTATTAGATACATATGTGATATTTATTTACAGATATTCTTTCTCTGTATATATGTATATTCTTATATTTTGTATGAATATGATTTTGAAGAGTCATTTGATTGCAAAAATATGTCTTTAGGAAAGAAGGAAATGAACCCAATTCGTGTGAATACATTTATTCCTAAATGAATGAATAATAAAAATAAATAGTTTGTTTTAATTTATTTATATATTTCAAAGTTTTAAATGACATTTAAAACCTCATATACATTTCTAGTTTACAGGAGATACAGGTAGTTCAAAATCACCTTTTAAAGGTTCTAAAAAATTATGCTGTGATCTCTGACATCAAGCATAACACTTCTTTCCATTAGTATTTTAAGATATTGTATAGAACGGATATATTACATTTTTAATTTTTATTTCTTACTCCAAATATGACAGCAATCACCAAAGTAGGCTTACTCTATCATACTACACATCATAGATCTTGTCTGTGATACTACAGAAAAAGTCCTTTGTATTTCTCAGTTTGTGAGCACAGTTTAGGACACGTAGTCAATGCCCAAATGTTTGTTTCTTCATTTTCTTGAATATCTCATCGAAAATTTGAAAATAATTTGTTAAATATTGATAAGCAAGTTACTGCCTGGTTTTGTTCTTCTAAAAAAACTTGTGAATAGAAATTTTTATAATTATTAAACTTAACTACAAAAAAAGGGAATTCTGGGCAGTGCCTATGGCTCAAAGAAGTAGGATGGTGTCCCTGTATGCTGGAGGTGGCGGGTTCAAACCCAGCCCCAGCCAAAAAAATAATAATAATAAAATAAAATAAGGGAATTCTGAATGATAAAATTATTATACTTGTTAAAGAGTATGTAATTCAATTGTCAAGAGTAAGTTAGGGTGTACTTTTTTGAAGTCATATTTATATTTTTAGAAATTCTACTAAAGGTCTCAAATATGAAATATATCTATAACTTTGATACCAAAAAATTTTACTAATTAAGTCATCCAGTAAAACATTTCAATTTAATACATGCATTGCAAATATCGATCAGTTTAAATCTTTAGTCACTCTTGGTTCCTACAGTGAAATTCAGGAAAGGGAAGCCTAATTCTAAAATCCCTTTATATTTCATGCATGGGTAAGCACATACTTCACATCATGGAAGGGAAGAATATACCATTTATTAAATGATATAATCTAAGCACTAAGAGAATATTTTAGATGTTAGCTTGTTAAATTCTCTTCAGAAACTTATGAGTTCCATATGTGTACCATTTTATGACCAACATTTTCAAACTTATATTATGTGCAGAAGTAAGGTAACTAACTATACCCAAAACCAGTCAATTGTAAAAGCAAAGTTAGAATGAGGACATGTGAATCAGACTTTATATGTTTAACTCATCAGACACCATGTCTCTTTGCTTCAAACTTTTTAACATGTATGTAACTGCTAAATCTCTGGCCATTTTGTTCTTCTCTGTACTTTTATATTGCCACAGGCTGTGAGAGAAAAATCATGTGTGCAATAAAAGTATAACGTAGCTCTCATCTCCCTCTCTCAAGATTTGTATAATCATACCGGAACTTACCCAAACGTCAAAACTAAAATTAAATAGCATGTGCAGAGTATTTTGAAGGCTTTAAACGTACATAGCAATATGTGTGTAAGTTCAATTTTATTTTTATTCAAAAAATAATCTGATACAAGGGTGGACAGAAAGTCAATGGGCAATTTAAAATAGCTTAACATAGTAAATTGGACACAAACTTTGTGTCCACCCTGTATTTTATACTGCTAAAACTAAATTAGTCACATCAGAAAACATAGATAATTAACATTCAGTGGGGATGTGTTTGATCTCTTGAACCAGATGATGCATTTCATAACTCCTTTTGGCAGTCTTAGTTTGTCAGCAGGCAAACTGGAGATATTAGACCTAACAAAACAGCAGCAAAAAAGAAAATAGTAGTGTAATTGCAATCACAGTTTTGATTAAGTTTTAAAATATTTGTATATAATCATGTACAATAGTCTCTTGCAGCTCAGTGGAATGGACCAAAATATAATAGAAGTAGTTTTGGAGAAAATGTACGATGTAAAACAATAAATTCCTGGCTATTTTATATACATAATAATCTTAGTAATTTTGTGTGTGGTTGTCAATTTAAAATAGTAAAATTCTGGTTTTTGATCAGAACAGGTAAAGGATCTATCAGTAAGTTAATTTTTTTCTGTGAGCTTTAAAAAATACATATCATGAAAAAGCATTGAGTTGCAGCCCAGTTTGCATAGAACTCAGTGACAGAAGAGATCTCCACTGCTTAAAGAAGACAATTAATCATAGTTAAGCCCATTCATCTTATTTCTTTCCAGCTAACCAGCATAATGATCAGGATTATTATTTCTAATTAGAGGAAGTAATAGATCATGTATAACCTTAGGATGAGTCTCATTAATTAACCCTAGTCCCAGGGGACTTCAGATAGAGGTGGCTGGGCACTCTGTCTTTGTCAGTGCTCACACCACAGGTTTACACCAATCCATGTGATCATGGATAACCGCACTACAATTTCTTAACACATAAGAGATGTAGACTATAGATGACTCTCCCACATGTGAACAAATAAGGAAAAAACCAGAACAATTGTTTGAGCTAGATGATGTTGAACTTATCTTGTCCCAAAATATTCTTTGAGTAACATTTTCAAACACAGATATCACTTGAGAACTAACAATCTGGTCTGTAATGCTTTTAACACAGAAAAAAAGGGGGAACTCTTAAGCTTCTGAAACTGAATGAGTATCTTTACCCACACTACTGCTTTTCATGATTGCCTTCCTTATTTGCTCTATCTTATTCCTGTAATCACCTACTATAAACCAAACACACACACACAGTTTACATAACTATATAGTAGGTATATAACATTAATTTACTTTCTTTGATTGATGTGTGTGTGTCATGCTCACTTTATCATAGAATCCTCAATTTTGTTGACTTTTTCATAAGCAGTTCTTCATTGTCATTATTATGCTATAGTTTTGAGTATTACAACAACCTCTAATCTGAGTCCCTATCTCCGTATACATAATGTGATAGATGATGAATGATATAAAAATAGAGCTGGATAAGATAAGAAATGTCAGAGCAGAAAGTTGGTTGGAATCCTCTATATTTTAAGTAAAATAGCCAAAGTAGGCCTTATTAAGAAGATGATATTTGGGTCAAGATCCAAGGGGTGATGCAGTTGATGATGTAGACTAATGGAAAATGTACAGCATTAAGGCAAATATATGCCTGGAAAGTTCTAGAATCTAGAAGAAACTGCCTGGTTGGAGCAGGGTGGGAAAGAAGGTAAGTGACAGAGAGTACTTTAGTGACTGGGGCTTAGGGGAGGGCTAGATGCTCTAAATCCCTGAAAGCCCAAATAAAGACTTTGAACTTGGATCTGAGTGAGATGAGGAGATATTGGTAGGATGATTAAGTACATAAGTGACATGATATGGATTTTATTTTCAAAGGCTCACTGTTATTGAGATAGATAGTGGGAAGCAGGCAGTCCAGTAGGTTACTGCCATAGTTAACCAGGGGTAACAGGATGGGAATTTGATAGAGTGGAGCAGTGGAGGTGAATAGATGTGATGGGATTCTACTCAGTTTGAAGACAGAGTTACACAATATGCTGATTGACTGGATATAAGGTTGCAAGAAAGTGAGGAGTCAGGGATATCCCAGAGACAGTTCCATTCATCGGTGGAGTGGCCATCAGTGGAGACAGAAGAGGGTCTGGGGGAATAAGAGAAGTTTCTGAGGTTGTTAGCTATCCAAATAGAGATATTTTTAAGTAGACAGCAAAATATGTGAATCTAGAGTTCAGGAGGAAAGACATGTGTGAACTTGTGAGTGAAACACATTGATGGCAAGTAAAACTGTCATACAGGAAGGTTTGAACTGGGATCCCAAACCAGTGTGGCTCTAAAGTCATGCTGTTTAAATGTCTCCTATCTTAAACTGTCCCTTTATGTGAGTAAATGACTTTTTATATGAAGGAACTCCATTCAGTATGAAGGGAGATACAGAAAGCATAGTCCCCTTTGAAAACGCCTTGCACACCTGATTTTATAAACCAATCTTTAGGATTTTACATACCACAGATGCTATAAAATCTTTCCTAAACACTTTCACTCTTCATTAGTATTTTTTCATTATACTATTATTGCCTTTACTAAATGGTTTTTGAAAACTGTTTTGGGAAGTTACAGGATTCTGTATTTGTGCCTTGGGAAAAATGGTACAGAGAAGATAGACTCACAGTGGGCTCACAGCTATTTCATACATTAAACGGAGAAACTTGATAGTCACCTGTTTTACATGTTGTTCCACTTAAGGTTATCCCAAATGCTGTATAACTACGTATTTCCAAGAATGAATAGTTTTAGACTGACAGAATTTTTGACATGTGTAATGTTTTTGTCTCTTACTTCCTACCCTACCAAAATCTCAAACAAAAAAAAGATACAATATCTTTAGATGGCAAGAAATCAATTTTATGAATCATTGAATTTTATATCTTATTTCAGATTTATGTTTGGAAGTAAAAATTCTTCATAAAAATTTTTCTAAAAAAAGAATTAGACACTGTATAAGAGAGAATTAGTTGTCTAGAATAAAATTGGTACAAGAATACTATCTAATTCTCAGATATTATTTAGT